GGTAGCTCCGACACAAAGACTATCAACATTTCCCAAAAAGAGTTTCTCGTATTTTTAAAAATTTATAAAATTTTTTTAACAAAATGTAAATTTTAATTTTGTAAACAAAGTGCAGGTCGCATCTTTCGCCCCAACTAGATGAAATTTTGCACAAATGATTTGTTTGCCCTAAGGACGAACCCTATTAAAATTGGAGATAATAGGTCAAAATTAAGATATACCAAATGTGTAATATTAGTTCAAATGGGATGGTATTTGGCACATACGGCCAAATTGATCCTAGAAATAAGTACCATATCTAATCTAATTTGTTATTTTTGTCCCCCGCATCCATAATAAGCACTCTGTAAAAACGATATTCGGAGAAATATATCAATTATAGCGTAGAAATAATTTTGCCAAATTTTACCGAGATCGGTTCAGATTTTTGATATAACAACATTTTCTTTATAAGGATTAAATAAGTCATAACAAGATAGGAAAGAACCATCCACAATATGGAGAATAACTGATGTAAAAATATGTCTGTATTCGGGGTATGCGTCATTTCAGTTATTAGGAACATCCAATTCAAATTTCAAAACATTCGGTAAAAAAGTAGTCCAAAGACCTAAATTGGTAAAGACAGGACAAAATGCTTTAGGGAAATATAGTTCATGTGAAAATATGTAGAGGGCCTATGTTACCATAAAAAAACGTAACTACATAGCAATTTTATGAATGACATTTTTGTACACCAAAAATTTGGGCTTATAATTGATTTCCATTTACGTCTTCAATTAATTGAAAATTGCATTTGCTGTAAAAACCACTTAAGATTGGTGAATATGTTGTTATGATATTGTAATAACGGAGGTAGATCCTCCTGGTATCAATATTTTGACACTGATTTCACCAGGGCGATTTGCCTCTGCTGTTACGATATCATAACAACATATTCACCAATGTTAAGTGGTTTTTAAAGTGTAGGGCGTTCTCGACGATAGCGTTGTCAAGTCCGACAGATCTGTTCAAAAATTGCAGTGCACCTGAAAACAGGACCCTGTCAATTCTTCCCCCCACCCTGTCCTATGATAGATGGCCCTATTGGAGGGCCGTCTGATAGTGCCATCTTGTCTAAAAAGCAGTCCTCTCATGCCTAAACATGAGGCAAGGACGCTGCGCTCCCACCTCCTAAAACTCTCCATCTGGCTGGACGAGATGCCAAACCAGACAGGAAGAGCATAGGCAACAATAGGTAGCATTATTTGCCGATATAGCAGCAACCTAACTTCGGGAGTTAGCCCTCCACGCATCTTCATCTGCCCTTCATGGCTGATGAAGACCTTCTTTGCTCTGGCCAGGATAAAATCTATGTGTCCTTTGAAGTCAAAATTCTTTTGAAAAATGAGCCCAAGGCATTTTATCCTGTCCTTTAATTCCACGGTATTAGGTCCAACTTTTACGAACGGACAGTGCCTTACAAAAGTTGGAGAAAGATATCGTGATTGCCCAGTAAATATAATTCCCGAGCATTTGCCCCCATTTAGCTTGAGGCCCCATACGGTAAAGAACCTATATAAGACCGCAAGATAAATGTTGTACGAGCATTCGTGGCTCTATATGACACAAGCGCGTCGTCGGCGTTCAAAAATTTAACACTTCGTGGGGGTGGTATCGGAAGGAGTAGTCCGATATATGCCATATTCAAGCTTGGTTTTGTATTAGTAGAAATATAGGAAAGTGTGAAATTTAGGGAGAATCATATGCCAATTTCGTGTTTTATGAGCTTCATAGTTATTCAAAATCTTGACTCTTATTGGGGAGGTACCAAAAGGAGTGGTCCGTTCTATCTGTTCTTTATACCAAATCCTGTGTTAAGAAGAGTGTTTGGGATGTGTGAAATGTGAAGATCATCGGATACTTACAGAGAGTTTTAGTTATTCAAAATTTTGACCCGTTGTTGGGGAGGTACCAGTAGAAATGTGCCGATATGTTCCACGTTGACACCATATCTTGAGTTTATAGAAATATTGGAATGAAACGAGTTTTAAAGGAATTGGATTCTCATTCCGCGTTTTATCGAACAATCCGCTCCCTTTCTATGAGATAAATTATTTTCTTTGAAAATGTTGATCTTTTAGGATGGAGGTACCAGAAGAAGTGGGCCGCTATTACTCATCTCCGAACTTGATTGAAGTTATACAATAACATTACAATGTACCAAGTTTAGATCAAATCGGATACACCCTTCGAGGGTTATTGTGCGCATCAGCCAAACAGCCTTAGATCGACTCCAAATGTCCTAAAACAGATTTGGTCCAAAGAGACCAAAGAGAGAGATGAGACACGTTTTAGCCGTATAAATGATATATACCATCAATAGATTCCCACTGTAAAAAAATGCAGTGACTGCCGGTTACATTTACAAAAAGTGATTTTCTTTAAAAATAAATATATTTTTTTCAGAGATACAACAGTAAAATGTATCTCTGAAAAATGTATTTATTTTTAAGGAAAAATGTAATAATGAAAACCAGATAATGTGCAGTATACCCTTTACTATTCCTAAAGTTAGGTATAACAAAATAGGACTGTAAACAAAAGATATAAGAATAAGCCTATGAGTCTACCACATTTTCTTTGTCATGTCACAAACGAATGCATGAAGACATTACCTTCATTTTTTATTCCCGTTTGAACCTCGTATATTGAATAAATTAAAGAATAACTCATACCCACCCACCAAAGCATAGAGAAGATGTGTGTTTTCTTTAAGCCATAATTTGTTGGAACGGCTAACAGTAACTCAATCCTATTACTCTGTTCATACACCCAGAGAAAAAATGACAACATCCGTGTATGAAATGACCACATCCGTGTATGATAGTGTATCAACCACGTTTGGTGTCAAAATGAGCACGCTGTTGTCATTTTGACACCGAGATTTTGGCAACGATTTCAACAACAGATGTGCATGAAATGAGCACATACGTGGTCATTTCGAGCACGCCCCGTTGTCAGATTGTCAACGCTTCGTTGTCAGATCGTCAACGCTTCGTTGTCAGATTGTCAACGCTCCGTTGTCGGATTGTCAACGCCCGTTGTCAGATTGAAATCAATGGTGGTCATTTTTTGATATCCGTTCCTTTTCCATTTTATACCCTTAGTAGAAGAAACGACATTTTTTGAAAAGTATTTTATTGAACGAAACCAATTACATAAATTCAATATAAATACATATTTGATTTAACAAAACAATTCGAATTACATATATTCAATGTATAGAAACAAATTAAATTAACTTAAATCTGAAATAAACTTTTCCATTATTCATAGGATATAAGTGAAATGGGTAAGTAATAAAATCTAAAATTGGTATTAAAAAAATTGTATCCTCATTCAGAGAACCAACTTCATACGATTGTAAATGGTAATCAAAGTTTTTAACTTTTACTTGGTTACATAAAATGTAAACATTTCATTTTCAATTATTAAATGTTTAATTTTGAAAAGTTCAATTGCGGCATTATTTGTTGCTAAATAATAGTTTTTTTTATACCTAGTTCCCTTAAAAAAAATGTCATCAGACACTTTGCAATTTTGGTAATTTAAAACTGGCTTACTTTTTTTGTAACAATATTCCTCTTTTGCCAAATCTTCGATGGTATGCGTATTAATGATAACATTTGGTTCTAAGTTATCTTCGTGTTTTAATAAAAAATTGGAAAATTTCAATCCAGACTTAATAGATAATGAACGACAGGGATTTACTCTTGATGTAGTATTTCCTAAATAGGCTTTTGCTTCCTTGTGTTTAGCTTCGAATCTCATGCTCCAGAGATATTTAAGGGGACCACATTTTCGGATAGCTGTGGGATAGTGGACAAGAAAGTGGTGTTTCGGTTTTAACGAACCGTATAATGTTATATAAAGTGAATGGTGATCTCTAATTAATTCTTCCAATTTTATTAAATCGTCTTCTATATAACTTTGTCTTAAAAGTAAATCGATTATTTGTAATAATATTATAAAAACTTTCCAGTGATCGTTGGAGAAAGGAATTAAATCGCCTACCATTAAAGGTAAAAAATTAGTAAAACACATAGTTTCACTAGCTGTCATTTTTAAGTTATAGTTTTTCAATCTACATAAATCTAGTGGTCCAGATTTATTTCCCACTTCAATTTCTCCAAATTGGAATAAAGATTTTCTGCTGTTAATACAATCTAACGTAACAATATTTTCTTGAATCAGCCCGAGAATTACATTAGACATATCGTAGACACATATGCCCTCGAAAATGTCATGCATAATATCAAAACAAAAATTTTCAGTGACGTTAAAATTTGGTAAAGATTCGAAGATACACTTGTTTTTAATACCTGTTTCTTGAAAATTATTTTCCAATACATTTGAGTTGTAATTCTCTTGGTTTCTTAAACTATCTAAATGCTGAATTGCGTCGAATTGCATTTGGGACTTTTTTCTTCTACATACCCGGCAAAATCTTTTAGAGTTAAATGATTGCACGTAGCCTAAAATACTATTAACTGCTAAATTATCTCCAATAATTACACCTAAAATAAAATGCACCTTCTGAACACTTTGTTGAACACAAATTTCAACCCCTTCTTCTAGAATTTTTAACTCTTCTACAAGATTGTGAAATGAAACTTCATTTCCACGTTCTTTTAAATCCTTTGATGGTATAAACGCAGCAGTTAATATATAATCAAGTTTTGACAACAAGTGCTGTGGCATTGAAGGAAAGCTAATATAACAACCACATATGGAAAATGTATGGGTTCCAAGAGGATTATTAATTTGAAAATCATCCATGTAAAGGACATAGGGAATAACTAAATTGTACTGATATTTTAATAATTTAGTTTTATATAACTCACCGTTTGTACAATTTTGTAAAACAGGTGAATTTAGGAATTTTTTGGAGTTTTCTAATGTCAAATCTAAGAGATTTGGAATTTTAAAAAGGGCACTTATCATGAATTTCAGTGGCATTATATAAATATTGGATAACTTTGGACCTAAACTGGGATTTCCGCTGATAACAATTTCCGAGACTTGATTGCTAATTACATAAACCTTTGGATCATCATAAAAGTTTAGTTCTTTTAAAATTTTTAAAAGTCTATATTCCGTTCTAGTTTCTTCGAAAGGATTTTTACAAAAGTTTAGTAAGTACCTTAAGTCTTCATAATTTGGATGATCAGTTATATATTTTTCAATTGTACATGAAATGGATGAAAGCAGAATTGAAACAGAATGTTGTATTTCTATAACATGATTTCTAGGCATATAGCTTTGACCATGTAATTGTAAAGACAGATATAAGGTTTTCTTTTTCAAAACATTTAAATCCTTTTCTATTGTATTGTTGTTAATAACAGTTTCACTGTTTGTATAATCATTTTCTTTTGATGATGACATTTCAACTGGCACATTAATGGCTTTAACCATTGGTGGAGCTTTTGTGTGATTCTTGTGAAGTTTTTCTAAATGAATTCTGAATGACGTAAATTTTGTAAATGTTTGCTTACAGTTGTCCTGAACGCATTGTACTTTTAAAAATTTAGTGGACATTAAATGGTCTGTTTTCAAATGAGCTATTAAAAGATTTGCCTTATCAAAATGCTTACGGCAACGAAAGCAAATATACATTTTGAATTGTACTTTAATTATTGTTGCAGAAATTAATAAGTGAAGTCAAATTAACTGATTTTATATCATATACAGTATTAATTTCATAAAAATATTTTTGGATAAAAATCCATGGAATTTGGCAGGCATTTGGATATTTTAAAGAAAGTGCATGAAAAATTTTAAAACATGTATCTAAACATTCGAGGAACGATTGAAATTTTAACAAATTGTGGTTAAAAAAAACATAAAAACCTTTTATATTGAAATCGGACAAACCCTCCACAATTATAAATGGCTGTATAGTTAATCCAGCATTGTAATACTTTTCAGTGACTGTATCAATTTGCCTTTTATAATCGTTAATTGTCGGTAGTCGCAGTACGAAACTTTCCTGCGAATCAGCTATTGTTACTTTTTTTCGTAATTTACCGTTTCCACATTTAAACCTAGCAGGTGATGGTAAAACTGAATTCAACAGTATTGCGTATATATAATCTTGAGCATCTGCAACCGAAATATAAAATAAATATTACTTTTAATGTTTATGATAAATCAGGAATTAAAATTTACCTATGCTGCTTGCCGTCAAAACATTTGCGAAGAGTTGTTTGCAATGTTCGTTATGAATATTTTTCCCATAATAATTGTAAATTTTTTTCTTAAATTGGTCCCATTTAGAAAGTAGAAGATTGCCTTTCTGTGGATACATAATATCGAAATCAATGTTGACCTAAAACGAAACATTAGTATCCATATACAAATAAATAGCTCATGGCTACTTACCAATTCTGAAGCTCTTGCATCGGACAACTTCGTCCATTCAAGGAGAAATGTATGGCTACTTAAATTTTTTATATCTCTTTGCCGTATGTTAAAAGATCTTTTCCATTTTTCGCAGATCGATCCCCAATCATTACATTCTCTTAGTAAGGAAGCTTTCAATGAATTTTCAACTGATTCATCAATTTCGGGAACATCTTTGTTACAAAAATTAGGAGATGTGTGAGTTGCTGCTTTGCTTGTGCTAGGCTCGGAAATCAAAAGCTTTATTCTTTTGGACTTCTTGTTTCTATACTTGGCATAAAGTTTTCCGCTTGCGTTGTTCTTTCCTTTTCTTGAAATGTAATAATAATCCTAAAAATAAAGACATATTATAAGTTAAGAAACTACATAATCAGATACGTTGTTTATATTGTTAATCTTACCCTCATTTCGTTTTCAAGAGGAAAAACGGAACAAATTTCATCCAATATGCGCATATAGTCTTGAGTGTAAAGAGTAACATTGTTGGTTAAAATATCTTCAATAATTATATTAATTATATCATCTCTTTGCTCGTCACTTAATTTCTTATTAACGCTACTACATTCAAGCGCTAGTTTCCCCTTCGAGGTATGTGTTAACAATTCCGTTAGATCCTATATTAAATAAAAAAACTACATTAACTATGCTTACACAAATATTACTCTTACCTTACCTCTGACAAAATTCCTTTGGCTTTTGAGCAGTTCGAACCTGTAGTGTCGGGAGTACCAGGAGTACTTGCAGGTGTCTCGTTGCGTTTCCACCATTCACCTATTTTAGATGGAACTGACATAGTTTCGTCATCAATCCCGAGCTATTGTTATGACAATATTAATACTGAGTTCAACTCTGTAAAACAAATAATACGTACCTTTCGTTTTTTCCAAGCAAAGAGCTTTTCTCTGAATTCAACACGCAGTCCCAATGGTGGCACTGCTTCCTTTAAATCTTCTTTTTTCAAGTACTGCAAGCTGCGAAATGTTACATGTGATGCTAAAAGAACAAAAAAGAAAATTCTTTGTTAATTACACTGATTAACTGAAAAATTCATTTTTATTTACTTACCTTTTAATTGTTCAAAAAGCGACTCCATATTTATTCCTTTTAAGAACTCCCTTAACATATAATCGTCCTCATTGTTTTCCGCATCTTGACTGCTGCAATGGTTTGTATCGCGAACCACAACAATATTGCCATCGATTTCTAACAACTCACCAATGATATTTTGAGGATCTTGCGAATTATTATTCATTTTCAATAAATTTTTTGCACAATGCGTCCTTTCTCTTTCAATAACACGGAAAAAATGGTAAATATGCAGCCGATTGCACACGAGTAAAAAAAATGACAACGGTGGTGCATGATTCATACACGGTAGTTGCTAAAATGGCAACGATCGTGTACGATTCATGCACGTCGGTGTACAAAGTAACAACGGTGGTGCATCATTATGCAGGTGGTGGTGCATAATTCATACACGACCGGTGTCATATTGACAACGACCGTGTGTGAATCATGCACCACCGTTGTCATTTTTTACTCGTGTGTAATCGGCTGCAATTACCAATATTACAAATGGACAAATTAAGCACGGCTGTTGTTGGTACCGAAAGTTGACCACGTCTCGGTGTCAATTTGAGCACGTTCGTGCACAATTCACCAACAGCCGTTGTTGAAAAATATAACAACGGGTCGTTGCGAAAATGACAACATACGTGCTTGATTTCGCAACGGGATTTTTCCCTCAGTGTAGTGCTGAATATTGTTATAGCTGTGCAATTTCCCACATACCAGCTTATGAGGCAAGATCTCTGCTTGTAACAGCATATGTCATGCAAATTAAACGCACATGTCGACAGTACTCCTTCGATTTTTGTCGCTTCATCGAAGACTATTGCCTTTGTTGTGGAATATAACACTCGTCTCACCTCTAGCAATTTTTTTTTTCCAACGTTTATGGTCAGTTTTCATATTGCATACTGAGGGCGGTGTGTTGTCTCTGTGTATTCCGATGACATTTTTTGCGTTCTGTTACAGATGCTACTGCACATATTGTTATGTGCTTTACTCCCGGCCTCTGCTCGTGGCCTCTGCTCATGTTTGTGGTAGCAAACCATTTCATTTTAATCAGTTTCTTACTTTACCGTTCTGTTTTTGCTATTTTCTACAAATCAATTGTTTCTCTGTCTATTTCTACGTCCGATTGCGTTTTTTAAGGAAATATTCCATTGTGCGTACTTTGACACATTTTAACAATTTATGACTTTACATTGTGTTCTCTGACAGCTAAATTCAAAGCAATTCATGTGTCATATCAGAACGTCAGAGTCTCGGTAACGTTAACACAGTAACTGTGTCTGTCCGCCATTGTTTAATCGCTAGTCTCTGGAAATTGAATCGATTTAAATATGGGTTATTGCATTATAGACGAAAAAGGTATTGAGACATGCTATAAGCACCATATTTTTGTTGACATTAATCGTCAATATCCTAAAGAGTACGGTGAATAATACTCCTGGGCTGTGGACTAGGGCTTTATTTTCTCTAAATTATTTTCCTGTATTACGAGTGAATGAAATTTTATTTATTTATGACTAGACACTTATTCAAAATGGGAACTATTTTGGGGAAATTTTGATCCGGGACATGGATTTTCCGATCTGGCTATTGACATGTGTCCGTTTGTCCCGAACCTCACGAACTTTTGTATGGTTATGGTATATGAGTCTATTATTTTTGGAATTGATCGCTAAATATTGCGGATTTTAATTGGACAAAACCTAAATATTGACTAGAATTTGCAGTCGCCCTACTGTTCTCTACTAAGGCCCAATATACATGGAATTTTTAAGAGGTTAGAGTTTAGTCCTCGGATAGTATTTAGCTATTTAAATGACCCACTATTTTGTGTGAAAACTACCGAAATTACATATACATGAACTGCGCACCTCTTTCCTATACTTTGATGCTGATTTCGTTGACTTCGTGGAATATAGCCAAACATTGGAGATATATTGAATTATATAGTCGAATGTAGAGCAAATACTACGAAGAGTTGTATGACCTCGTAGTTTCCGTCAAAAGGTAAGATAACACTTTTACAGGACTAATGTCAAATGGTATGAAATGAGAATAAAATGTTAAATAGGCATGGAAAAAAGTTTTGAATCTGAAAATTCGTCCGTATTGATTGCAGATCTCAGGTTCAACATTTGCTTTCATTATGTAGTGGATATGGGGATGTTTCTTAGTAGAGTTTTCATTCTAGTTAAAAGGGTTTCAGATCTGCAGAAACTTTACCGCAAATTGTATTGTTATAGGGTAATAAATGGTCGGCCCGTCCGACAATAGCCCATTTTTTATTTAATAAATTTAAAAGTGAACATTTCAAGTTTTTTAGTTTTAACGAATAGCTTAAAGCTTGCATTCAATTATATATCTGGACAAAGAGATATTTTCAAACAAGAATTTTATAGAGTCACTTTAAAATTGGGATTTTATAAATTTTTAGATGGACACTGCCACAAAGCCCAGTACTCGACTAATACTCGACCAACGTGGTTCGGTATAGACAATTGTTTAAACAGGTTTATGATTTCCGATAGCCATCACATTACCTCTCACATTAGGTTTTAGCTGGAGTTTTTTAATGAAATTCATCAAAACTTTACAAAGAAATATTAATATTGGTCAAGGTTTTGGTATAGGCCCCACATCCCGTTTTTGCTCGATGTTAGGTACTTGCGAGGTTTTGACTATATTTTCCAATTTTTCCTCATTGCAAAAGGCAACTGTGTATAAGTGTCTAAATCGGCCCTAGATGTGGACTATAAATGCTAGCTGTACTTTGTTCACAAAAACACACATTTGACAGTCTTGGGCCTAGGTCCTCCATTGTATGTGCCATCGTCCATCCTATATGGGCTGCTATCGTTCGATGCACAATATACTTGAAAACGGAGAAATGTATACAAATGTGGGTCCTGATATTAGTAAAAATATGTAGGCAATTAAACATGTAAAGCCCCATATACGTGGATATGGGCTGCACTTAGTTTTACTTTAGCCAACTACTGACATAGCTATTGTGAATAGGTAGAACATTATGTTTTTATTCGCAGTCGGAGGATAGTGCGTGTGTCAAACGGTGCGTGCTTATTGACATTTTGTCAATGACAGGTGGCGGTGATTGTTGTAGTTCGTTACTTGTTGTTCATAATTGTTGTAGTTTAACATGATTTGTTGGGTATTTGCATAAGGATTTTAGTTGAGATTTATTCAAGTTGATAACAAGGTGCGAGAATATGCATGTTGTACAAGCGGTTGTAAATGTCTTCAAAGATATTCGCTTCATTTTAATTAAAAATAAAAATCAAATTAAATTTCTTATAAACCATATCTGGCTAAAGGAATTTGTCATACAAATATTTGTTTTTTATATATGTTGACCATAACGGTGCGATAAGTCGGAAGTAAGCAATGTACACAATGCTGTTGAAATTCAAATTAACCGTTTAATTGCTTATATAACTTTATTAATTAAAGTAATTGCTTAATAATCTCCATCCGAGTGTTTACAAATATGACGATAAATATTTGAAAAACAAGATTGTTCCCTATATGTGCAACGTGAAGTGATCAGACAAACGGCATTATCCAAAATATCACCTAGGCGGCGTTAAACAAAAACATTAAAAGGAAATAAAAAAGTAACCAGCAACGTACAACTCGACACACCATATCTATAAATATTAAGTAAATATTAACGTTAATTACATTTCGGCTATATCTACTGGTATGAGCGAAAAGGCCGAAATACAGAGACGGACGGACCCACATGCATATGTAGGTATATGACTTGACAAAGCCGAAAGCAATTCGAACAACACAGATGCCGACACCACCATCTCAGCGGCTGCTGTTGGTTTAGACATCGTTGATATGAGTAGATATTCGTACCACCCCGGGTACAGCATTCACAATCACACAGATTCGTAGATTCGAACAGATAAGCCGTCATATGAATTCATGAAACAACAAATGTAATAATAACAAACACTTAATTAAATTGTTAATATTTGTTAAAACGAATTAAATGAAGTGATAAATAAAATTGCCATTTTGCGTAAATTGAAAATTTGTTACGAATATTAATATCTAATCTTTGACAAACGATATCCGTAAGATAAGAAATCGGTGTAAATACAAGATAGTCTGCTAGAGTAAATCGGGTCATAATGGATGTGATCAGAGTTTCCCTAAGCATTTGTATGCTTATATATTCGTAAATATTAAAGGAAACATGTATGTACGTAGATAACAAAGTTCGATTACTAAAATCAAGTTTTGTAGCAATCCTAGTATTTAAAATAAGACTTTTAGACTCAATAATATCATATAGTGAATATGAATGACGCTTAGAATGACGAAGGATATGATTTATACTTAATATCATTCAACTAACAGGAAGGAGCGAATATTATACTTACAGATATTGTAGTAAGGGTGAAACGTTCTTCTTTTAAAGGAGGGAGTACGAAAAACATCCCTTTGGTGACTAAAATTATTTTCTGTAGTATTGACGAAGACTCTTTATTCCTAAACAGTAAGGATTCCAAACTAAACCCGAAAATTAAAAAAAATATATATTTTCAAAATAAATATATTTTCAAAAAAAAAAAAAAAAAAAAAAAAAAAAAAACAATTGAAAATGCAGTAATTTCGACCGTGCCGAACTGTGAATACTGTCCACCATTTGGAAGGAGTTTGAAAATTTTAAAAATAATTTTTGAATGTCGTTTGCTCGTGACTCTTTTACCCTCCACCATGGTATGGAAGGAATATTAACTTTGTCATTCCGTTTGAAATCTCTCGAAATTAGAATAATATACCCCACACAGTATATATATTCTTGATCAGCATAAGATTCTATGTCTAGAGTCGACTTAGACCAATGGCAACTAGACAACACTATGTATACATTGGAAGAACGAAAACAACCACTTAATAAAACAAGTTAAATATACAAAAAAGTCCCTCGAAAAATATCGCTCAAAGAAAAACCGTTACATAGAGGCTTGAAAATTTTAAAAACAATTTTTCAATGTCGTTTGCGAGTGACATTTTTACCCTCTGCGTAAGTAAATTTTTTGTCATGGGCTGTAGTACCCATTAGATACGAAAATGTCGCTAATGTCATCAAACTCGGAACAATTCCGGAGAATAATGTCCCTAAAAATCATCAGAATATCGGTAGATACCGTTGTATAGGGACTATACGATATTGTGGACCGATATAGCCCATCTTCGAACTTGACCTGTCTGCACACAAAAGACTGGTCTGTGCAAAATTGTAGCTTCCTATCTCAGTTCATTTTGAATAAATCATCTAAATCGTCATAGAATTTTACACTGATAAAGAACTTATGTAGTTTGTTAGGTCTAAAATCGATGAGTTACAAACGGAAAGACGAACTTCCTCCATACTATGTATGGTGGAGGGTAAAAAAACATTAAGTTTGGCCGGGCCAAACATTAAATACCCTCCACCAATCGCAAAGAAAAACATTTTCATGTAAACGTATCCTGATTCAAACGTATAGTATAGACAAATCCGTAGATAAATGGGGCTAGAACTGTAAAAATACCGGATATCGGGAGCTACAGGTATATGGGGGCTATACGAAAACGAGGACTTAAATATACAACCTTCCGCCACCGAAGCTGGAACCCACTGCGAACTACAAA